CCATCTCATATTTCTTCACAACCTCACTCTTAATGTTCATCTAATGCCCTTTCAATCACACACCACATTAGGAGTTTAATGACTGCTATCTGATGCTCTTCAAAGTCGACGTGAAATTGCGTTGCGACCCATTTTACTTCCACACTATGACATTTCACAGTGAAACAAGATATGGAACACAAATAAAATGTGGGGTGGGGCTTGATTTTATCCATCAAAGATGGATTGGATGGTGAAAAGTGGAATAGGACTTGTGATGCTGGAACAAAATGTCACAACAGCACCAACAAATGTAAAATAGGGTCGCTTTTGATTTCATGTTGACTTCTATCATTCAGGCTCATTGTAGTGACAAGTGTCATGTCATCCTGATGTGACGTATCTGTTGTTCTGACTGCTGCACAAGGTTTTGGAGGACTAGCGATATGCACAGTGCACAGAAAAAAGGCTTTCACAGTAACATTAGATACATAGCTCTCATATATCTGATTGATAAAGTTCAATCTAAAGGAATAGCAGGCTCCTCTGCTGTCGGTAAGGCCAGTTAAAGTAATTTACCCTGTGGTCCATGTGGGCCCATAATCCAAATGACAAGGAAACTGCTCTGAAAGAAGGTGCTGTTCTTTGAGCTCCCGAGGCACTGTGGTCATTTTAAAACCATGACAATCTCTTGGACACAAGACATATCATCCTGGAAAGATGCATCTATGATTAGATACATAGTTGAGTTTATACAGGGAGTATTATGACGTGAGAGTGCCATATTCATCTGAAGGACTTTCAGGTGTGAAATACAAAGACACATTCATAAAAGTAAAAGGTGATTCACATGTTGTACAGATAATGCCAAATTCATTAAATGTTACTGACCTTTGGAAAGCAAAAACGAAGAGAGTAGAAAGATTATTCCAATATCCTACAACCTGGATTATTAGACCAACAGCAGAGATCTTTTGTTGGAAAAAATGTTGTAGGGCTACACGACTAATCGAAAAAAGGCTGCTTGTCAACAAAACAAGTTTTAATGGTTTTCCACGAAAAGAAAAGCTTGATGGTTTAACGTTAAAAAAAATGAAGAAATTTAGACAAAAGTTAGTATTGCAAAAATATGATATTATTTTTCTTAATTTCTTTTAGTGAAATATTACAATAGTAATATTTCATATTTTCTTTAATATTTTATTTAGTAGTAGTAGCAGCAGCAGTAGTAATAATTATAATGATATTTAAACACAAATGTTATTAGTCATATTGCTATATATTTTTTCTTAATTTCTTTTACAGTGAAATATCACACTAGTAATATTTCTTATTTTCTTTCATATTTTATTTAGTAGTAGTAGCAGTAGTAATAATAAGTTATAATTATAAATTAAACACAAATATTATTAGTCATATTGCTATATAATTACAAAAAATTGTGCATCCCAACAAACAAGCTTAGCAAACCTGGGAGATTTAAATTTTTAGAGTGTGAGGGTTAAAAAAAAGTATCTCTCTCTCTCTCTGAGAGAGAGAGAGAAAGAGAGGGCGTGAAAGGAAGAGGAAAAAATAAAAATTCGCATTTTGATTTTATTCTGAAACTCGTGCAGCCCTAGCAGAGAAGGTAATTTTCTGCTGACTGAGCTTATGATGTTCAGTTATGCTGACTGAGCGTCAACCACTAATCAAAAATGCACACAACTAGCTAGCTGCATGACATCTTTAACAGTAACAGTGTGTTTACATGCATCTTACAGAGATTAAGCTGACAATGTAAGATCATGAAAACACTTCAACAGCTGTCTCCTTAATCAGGGAAACGGTTTAAGAAAAAACAAAGATGAAAGTTTCTCCCATTTTCCTTTTGTTCGGTCAGCTTATTCAACACGTGTCTGCTTACAGACATCAAGACTCGAGAAAAAGTTGCATGAAGCTACATACAATTTTTTTAAATCAACTGAAAGCGATGCAGTTTTGAGAACAAGCCTTAAATGCACTGGTTTTGAACTTTTGAAATGCAAATCAACATGTTTTACTGGTAGAGAAATGTGTGCAAACCTGCTGAACTTGGGCTGCTTTTCGGACCTCCTATGTCTGACTGCTACAAAACTGTTCTGAAAAAAAGAGCTATGAAATGTTACGCACAATACAATGCTGCAAGGATCTAGATTTACTGCGATCACTCCAATAACACTGCAAGAAAGAGGCACGAACACTGTTGTATGAATAGAAGCGATGTTCCCTAGGCAAAACGTCATACTGCCCCGAGCGAGCGCATGAAGATACAGCCATCTTCAGCGCTTCAGTAGTACTTAACCTCTCTGGTCAGTATCACAAGTCCTTGAGAAACAGTAGTGATGTTAAATATGAGCGATTTCCAGTAAGGGCACAAACCCTAAAACGAACTGAAAAACATCCTCGTAAAGGTGAACGGCACAAACAAACGTGAAAAACAAAAGCTAGTGCGTTCTCAGGATTTTCCAGAGAGAAGATTGTGGAACCAGGTGTTTGGAGGCTGTGGTTGCTCTTCAGAGGATTCTGGGATGAGGAACTGGGATGATGTGACCGATGTAGGGCTGCCAAGCGAACCGCTAAAGTTTTCTGCCTCTGGAGAATCCAGCTGCCAGGAACCCTGGGGTTTGTAGCCTGTATTCAAGCCATCGTCTTGGAAGTCGGCCTCGAATTCGATTTTGGGACCCGCGACGGACTGCATTTGAGGCTTGTAACTTCCGCCACCGCACACCCCCTGCGAGGAGGTGGGGCTCTGGATGCCAGCGTAGGTGATTTCAGTCTGCGTGGAGCCCACCGAGGCGGTCGAGGAACCGGAGGAGTCCGAGATCTGGTTACTGTGTGAGCCGTCACCGACCACCTGGTTGTAGTATCTCAGCAGGGCCGGTTCATCCGAGTCAGTGTCTACCTCGATGTTGTCGTTCTCAAACTCCTCCTCTTCCTCTGGTACTGGGAACAGACCTTCCTTAGTGAAATCCCACTCCGGACTCTCCACAATGTGGACCAGACTGTGAGGAGAGGGCTTCACATCCAGAGGACCCTAAACACGAACAAGAGCAATGCAATTTGAGGAATCATTTATGTTCGTAGCACTAAGTTGTTTGCAACAGCAATGGCGATTGCGGTCTTAGCAACCATTACTCAAGAAAAGTTCTACCTGTGAGGAGGACCAGTCTCCAGGTACTTTAGGTCCAGGGATTTCAGGATAGAAAGCTTTCTTTACCCTGGAATTAGATAAATAATACAAAACCATCAAGGCGACACATTAATAACTGATTTACATCAGTGTTGTTACATTGTAAGTTAAATTTTTTTTTTTAAGTTTTAAAATTGAAGTTAATTGAAATAAAATAAACATTAAATTAAAGGGGTGGTTGATTGCGACTTCACTTTTTTAATGTTAGTGTGTAATGTTGCTGTTTGAGCATAAACAATATCTGCAAAGTTACGAAGCTGAAAGTTCAATGCAAACGGAGATATCGTCTTTTAAAATTCTGGCAGTTTAATGCCTACAAAAACGACTGGTAGGGACTACAACAAGTTACTTCCCAGGTCCGTTACGTCAAGAACCCAGAATTTTACATAAACGCGCCAAGAAGCGTTAAACATGGACGCGCGTGCGGTTGCCGAACTGTATTAAAGCTTTAATCAGAATAAAACCGTATATTAAAAGCTAACAGAAGCAGTAGCATTTACAAATAACAGCGTATCTAAAAGTATGAGACAACAAAAAACTAAAATCTTAGGCCTACCATTAAAAGCAGTGCTTGCACAGGTTCTGCACGATCTTCTTCACTAATATCCTCTGCTTCTCAATCGAGCTCAAACTGATAAGCGATATTAACGACGCCGTTGTTTACAATACAACTGGAGCACATGCCGCTGATCTTAGGGGCGGGACGTTTAGACTCGGGCTAGAGGTTTAGCGGTTTAGCCAATCACAACACACTGGGCTAGCTAACAAATTCGTGTATTTTTGAGGCAGGGGCTTCATAAAAGCAGGAAATGATCAGCGCGTTCAGAGGAGAAGGGACAGAGCGGTGTGGAATAAAGGTAAATTATGTGAAAAATAATGCGTTTTTT